TTTGGTCCCTGACACCACATGGAGACCCAGTTGGAATTCCAGGCTGTGGCTTCAGCATGCTCATTTCAGGCTGCTGTTGGCAATTTGGGGAGTGGAGCCAGTGCATGGAAAATCATGATATCTCTGTGCCCTCCTCCCCCCCCCGTCATTCTACTTTTCAAATTAAATTTAAACTTCAGCAGTGTCTTCCAGAAACACTCGTGGCAGTTGCACAAGGCTCTCCACAGGGACAGAAAGGGCATTTTACTTAGGACAAAGAAAAGGGAACATATTCTAATGATATCTTGCTTATTCTCTGAAAACGTGGTGAACGTACCACGTGAAAAGGCAAATCACAGGTCTCCTTAACATCTCATTTCACTTACATAGATGAAAAAAGATTGAGAAGCGGCGCCGTGCCTCGCTCAGCCTGATTCTTCCTCTCTCCGGGCGGCGCCCTCTCGCTGCTATCTAGTCCCGGTCGGGGCGTCGGATTCTGTCCCGGTTGCCCCTCTTCCAGGCCAGCTCTCTGCTGTGGCCCGGGAGTGCAGTGGAGGATGGCCCAGGTGCTTGGACCTGCACCCATGGGAGACCAGGAAAAGCACCTGGCTCCTGGCTCCTGCCATCGGATCAGCGCGGTGCGCCGGCCGCAGCGCGCCGGCCGCGGCGGCCATTGGAGGGTGAACCAACGGCAAAGGAAGACCTTTCTCTCTGTCTCTCTCTCTCACTGTCCACTCTGCCTGTCAAAAAAAAAAAAAAAAAAAACAAAGCCTTATAGATTTCACTCCTAAATAATAGTTGAATAAAGCTTCCCTTCTTTGTTCTGAAATGCTACACATCAATTGTTCTCTCTTATTTAGACAGAAGCCCCTCCTAATCTTTTTACTTCTACATATTAAAACACACATAAATGCACATTACATTATATGTACATTAATATAGTATAGAATATAATAGGATGATTTATAAGGCATCATGTATTACTAACATACTATATATTTACAAATTTAATTAATGAATTTCAAAATTTTTTGCACCATAGAGTTTGTTTTAATTCCATTGACATGAGCCCTTTGAAATACTGATATATAATAGTGAAAAGGGAAATTATTGCAGTAACCATATTCCTACGTGTGTGTCTACCCAAGTCAGTACTGAGTTCACCTGGAATCAACACATCCAACAATGACCAGGCACCTACTCCATGTGAGAGACCGATTCTGATCACATGGGGCTCCTGCCCTGCTGCTGTCAGTCCTAATCTGTGTTCAGGGTTGTCTGATGGACATTGTAGGGAGCCTGTGGTCGGTCCTGTGTCCTGATAATCCTACCTTCTCTGTTACAGGCTACACTGTGTGCATCTAAATTTCTATGTCAAAGTCCTAACTTGGGAGCACCTCAGATCCTGCGTTTGAAAACAGGGTGTTTTGAGAGGTAGCTACATTACAATGTAGTCATGGGGTGACCTCCAGCAGGACTGAGGTCCTTCTCTGCAGAGGAGAATAGAACAGGGACAAGAGCCCACAAGGTTCAAGGGAGGACACAGCCATCTGGGTTGCCAGCTTTGTCTTGGGCACGAGCCTCCAGAACTGTGAAGCAATTCATTTCTGTTATTTAAATCACCTTGTCCTGGTACTTGGTTGTAATGGCGTTAGAAAAGAATACACTCGCCCCTCTCAATAGGTCTTCCTTGCTCATCTCTCAGCAGGCTTTGCCACAAAGCTGATTTCAGACTTCAGTAACAATAACTGACATTTGCATCAGGCTTCAGCATTTAGATAAGGGTGCATATACTGCCTTCTTTAACCTGCACACCAACCTGAGAATGTTGGTGCTGTGTCTCCTGTCTGCACACCTTCCCAAGTGACAGAGCCCGGATGGGAACCCAGGTTTTCATTCCTGAGCTTGTGAATGTCTAGACAATTGCCTGACACACCACAAGCTGTACAATGAGCAATGCACAATTAACTGGAATTGATTCTCTGGTTAGCACCACTGCCTTCTTCTATTTGCTCTCATCAAGGAGTTAACATGTGCATGTGTGGGGCTGTGTGTGAGTCTGTAGCCTCTGGTGACTGGCGAAGACACAATCCGTCAGAATTGCACACCTCGTGACAGTGCACTCCAAATGATGTTCATTAACTGAAGCTTTCTTTGCTCACAACCTAAAATAATCTTGTTTTTCTTTTCTTCTTTTTTTTTTTTCAGAAATAAACGAGAACAGTGGCCTGGGGATATTCAGAGAAAATTCCACTGCAGATAACAGAATGTGAGATTGTTAGCCTTTTTTTGCCACTTGTGTTTAACATCACAGCTTGGTAAACTTGGTTTACCAGTAGTCTGGATACTGAGCTCAAGATGCTAATTCTCTCTTTATTAAGCTGTTATTAAGGGTTATATGAAATAAGGGTATTTGGAAATATCCTATTTGTTATGAGCTTATTTCTGTCTGGACAAAGTAGGATTTCTGCTTGGCATATATGTGTACTTCCTGGATAGGCATTTGGTACAGTGGTTAAAATGCCACTTGGAGGCAGCTCACTAGGCTAATCCTCCGCCTACGGCGCCCTGGGTTCTAGTCCTGGTTGGGGTGCCAGATTCTGTCCTGGTTGTTCCTCTTCCAGTCCAGCTCTCTGCTGTGGCCTGGGAGTGCAGTGGAGGATGGCCCAAGTGGTTGGGCCCTGCACCCGCATGGGAGACCAGGAAGAAGCACCTGGCTCTTGGCTTCGGATCAGCGCAGTGCACCAGCCGCAGTGGCCATTTGGCAATTTGTAGAATAACACATAGTAGTTATAAGTATGTGGCATACTCACACTCATATCTAGATGTGTCAAATTGTGTTCTGTCACATGAAGTTTTCAAAGTAAAGGTGAAGAACAATGTTTTAGGAATTCAGAAGATGATTTTGTAATTACTTGTCTCATTCATAAGTCGATGCTTTGCTAGAAAAGGTGTTGAGTCCAGCATTGTGGCGTGGGTGAAGCTGCTACCTGCGACACTGGCCACCCATGGGGGCTGGTTCATGCTCCAGCTGCTCTAATTCCCATCCAGCTCCCTGATAATGGCCTGGGAAGATCAGCAGAAGATGGCCTGCATGTCTGGGCCTCTGCCACCCACATGTGAGACCAGGATGAAGCTGCTGGCTCCTGGCTTTGGCTTAGGCCAGTGCTGGCCATTGTGGCCATCTGGGAAGTGAATCAGCAGATAGAAAATCTCTCTTTTTCATGTCTTTCCCTCCCTCTGTGTGTAACTTTGATTTTCAGTAAAATAAATTATATAAAAGCAGAAAACCTCTGAAATACACCACTATTATTGGGTTCTTGCATAAAATCATTAGCAGGCTTTTCATGGACCCCTGTTTATATTGTTGGTCATTACAGCTATTAGCCAAGAAGATGCCGAACATATGACCTCCGTGTATAGCATAAGTCATTCCACATACCTCCAACGAATGATGCTCATGTTGTCCTGCCTGGGGAACACTGCTGTAGACAAGTTGCCAGCAGTCGGTAGCACGGTGCTCCTCACAGCGTGACACAAGCAATCTGGCACCTGGCATTGTTGAAGGTACTGTGAATGGTCTTCAAAACATTCATGAAAAATGTATATCACAAAAAAATGCATGGACTTCCCAAAGGTTTTGCACCAACATATGCTAATCCGTTTTCCACAAACTTGTTGAAATCCCCTCATATCATATCACATATTTTTGCTTTATTATATTCACTTTGATGATCATTAAAGCATAGCTAATGGGGCAGATGCTGTGGCACAGTGTGTTAAGCCACGGCCTGGAATGCCTGCATCCTATCTTGTAGTGTCTGCTTCAAGCCCTGGCTGCTGTGCTTGCAATCCAGCGTCATACTAACACACCTGGGAAGGCAGCAAATAATGGCTCAAGTACTTGAGTCTCTGCCGCCCGTGTGGGAGGCCCAGATGGAGTTTCTGATTCCTTGTTTTGTCCTAGCTCAGTCCCCTCTGTTCTGATCTTTTGGGGAGTGAACCAGCAGATGTAAGATTCACTCTCTCTGTGTCATTCTGCTTTGCAGTTCAAATAAATAAATAAATCTTTAAAAATCTTTAACTTACGTATCTAACCAAGATCATTATGGTTATTATCAGTTTTAATACATAAACTGTATGCTTATTTAACAGTTACTTAAATATTAAAGACTGTGCAGGTCTGGCAAAGTCATGGGGATGGCTTTCTAATGTCAAAGTGTTGGCAGAAGCAGCCGTTGTTGGTTCAAGAATACAAAAGGCAAAGCAAGCTGATCTACAGATTTTCTTCTTGACGTTTATTTCCTCTAACTCTGACTCAGGGAAGCGACTGAAATTTTGTAGCCGATTAATTCCCTCATGAGAGAGTGAATGGTGGTTAATTCACTCACAGGAGAGCCCCCAGCATGTGAGGTTTGAGGAAGGGCTCCCAGGACACAGCTCCTGGGGCATCAGATGGTTCAGGGCTCACCCCAGAGGAGTGCGGACTTCATATGGAGCCAATTATATCATCAGCACTGCAGGAAAGCGTCTAAGGCGCCCACTGTGCTTACACAGGGAATGGGGAAGTGCGTGCTTGTTTTGCATCTGAAGGGTTAAAGCTTATATGGAAGACTTCTGAGCCCCTGAGGGACACTCAGGGAAGAATCCCTCAGGTTTTATCAGTCTGCATGTAGAAGTTTGCAAACACTGAGACCACTACGAATAGTCTATGCGCCACACAGGGAAAATATTTATAGGCAGACTCTGATTTCTACATCATTCTTCTCATTCAAATAAATGGAAGTTCCAATCACGTGGCCAAGTGGTTTTTACAGTAGTTTCTCATGAACAGGCATTATAGAAAAAGAAAATAAAACAATTTAAATGTTACTTCACTTAAATATTCTTAAAATATACTTAAAAATATTTATGTAGTCAAGTGCTATATTTTTCAAAAATAATGGGTTAATAATATTTCAAATGTATTCTACTTTTTCCAGTACTCTGAGCCAAATTAATTTCTCGGCAAGATTCTTCATTATACCTCAATATATTTGTCACACTATCTATTGTAAATTTTGTTAATAAATGCTGCATAAAATAACCACTTAGCCTCCTGTTATCTATAACTGGTTACTATATACCAAAATCGGTGAAATATTGTCTTCAAAGAGCAAACACAATTAATGGTAAAACTACTACTCAAACAGTACTCTATACTTGGTGTGTCTTTGTGGGTGCAGTCTGTTGAAATCTTTACTCAGTATATACTAAGTTGATCTTCTGTATATAAAGATAATTGAAAATGAATCATGATGAAGAATGGGATGGGGGGGAGAGTGGGAGATAGGATGGTTGCGGGTGGGAGGGAGGTTATGGGGGGAAAAGCTGCTATAATTCAAAAGTTGCACTTTGGAAATTTATGTTTATTAAATAAAAGTTGAAAAGAAAAAAAAAACAAAGATGAAAAAACCAAAACACTGCATAGACCTCTTTAGGAATAAGATCCATTAAATATTGTTATTACAATAGAAAAAAAGAGAAACAAACACAAAGGTATAGTCTATGCATAGTCTTTTTCCTTTTCAACCAGAAGATCTGGGGAAGACCTTGAGAGGAAAATAAATGAGTGCAAACTGAAATTATCAAAGTTGACACTCTAGAGGGACAATTCGACATGCCTTTAATTTCATTAATTGTTTAATGTTAAGGACTGCTTTCTGCAGGGCAGGTACATTGTTAGTAGAGACAAGAACATATCGATATCATTTATGGGTCACTCATTATGTCTCTGTTTTCATACTAAGCACAATACTAGCCTTTGGGCTAAGGTCCATTTAGATTATTATAAGATTTATCAATCAATTCCCATTTTACTCAGGGTTCAGTGGCACACAAATGGAAGTTGGAAAATGTTAACTTTTTTTTTTTTTTTTTTTTGACAGGCAGAGTGAACAGTGAGAGAGACAGAGAGAAAGCTCTTCCTTTGCCGTTGGTTCACCCTCCAATGGCCGCTGCGGGCGGCCAGTGCACCGCGCTGATCCGATGGCAGGAGCCAGGTACTTCTCCTGGTCTCCCATGGGGTGCAGGGCCCAAGCACTTGGGCCATCCTCCACTGCCTTTGCGGGCCACAGCAGAGAGCTGGCCTGGAAGAGGGGCAACCAGGACAGAATCCGGTGCCCCAACCGGGACTAGAACCTGGGGTGCCGGCGCCGCTAGGCGGAGGATTAGCCTAGTGAGCCGCAGCGCCGGTGCAACTATTTTTCTTATTTCTATTAATAAAGAAGATTATATTAAAATGTTTTTAATAGGAGATCAATCCTATCAATGTCCTCTTGTTTTTGCGTAGATATTTATAAATGAGACTGCGCCAGAATCTTACTTTTGTCGAAATATTTATTTCAATATTTGATGTAAATAATTTCATCATAAAACGAACCTGAGATTTTTCCTTCTTTTTCTATGGATCTGGAGAAATTTGACATGGGAATTACCTCATCTTCAGTCTTTGAGTAGCTTTACTTTGTAAAATCTTTGAGTCTAAGGCATTTTTTGCAGGAAGGCTCCTTCACATTTATTTTATTTCTTCTAAGGCAATAATCTATTTAGACTATATTTCTCTGTAGGGATCAGTAGGGAGAGTGACAGAGAGAGGGGGAGGAGACAGTAAGGGAAACATGTTTCCCTTGGCTCACTTCCTGAATAACCTATATGGCCCAGGCTAGGCCAGACCAAAGGCAGGAGCCCAGAACTTCATTGTAGTTTGCCACATGGGTGGCAGGGGTTCAAGCATTTGAGCCATCTTCCACTGTCTTCCCAGGCACCGTTCAGGCACTGGATTGGAAGCAGAGCAGCTGGGACTCAAACCAATGCCTCTATATGACATGTAAGTGATGGCTTAACTCACTGCACCACCACACTGACCCCATATCACTTGCTTTATTTAGGTGTTTAAATGTACTTTGTGTAGAGTCATCAAAGCTAACCTTTGTGTTTGAGTTTTATTTCCTCTGTTTTGATGTCTGTTTTTCTCTTTCCCATTTTTAAATTTGTGTTTGTGCTTTTACTCTTTTTATTTCTTAATTAGTTCACCATATGCATCAGCTTTGTTAATTCTGTCAAAGGTCAATATGGCCTTTTTTTAAGGTTAGTTTTCTGCTTCATCAATTTCTCTTTCTTCTCTGTCTTGATTTATTTAATTGTATTTTTTTAGTTTTAAATTGTTCCAATATTTAATATTTTATCATTTTAAATTTTTCTTAATATTGTCATGTGATGGTGTCAGTTTTATTCAATAACTGCCTTAGCTTCTTCCAGGACTCTGAAATGTCTTGTTTAAAAAAAAAAAAAAAACAAAACTGTATCCTGTTTTCATTATCATTCCATGCAAACAATTTCATAACTTTGTTTTGTTTTTCCCTTTTGACTTGAAATTTACTTAGCATACTTTCAAATTTCTGGTTTAAAAGTCTTGTTTAAAAATTATCTTAGAGGGGCCTGCACCGTGGCTCACTTGCTTAATCCTCTGCCTGCGGCACCGGCATCTCATATGGGTGCCAGGTTCTAGTCCCAGTTGCTCTTCTTTCAGTCCAGCTCTCTGCTGTGGTCTGGGAAGGCAGTGGAGGATGGCTTAAGTGCTTGGGTCCTGCACCTGCATGAGAGACCATGAGAAAGCACCTGGCTCCTGGCTTCGGATCGGTGCAGTGCGGGCCATGGTGGCCAAAATTTTGGGGGTGAACCAACGGAAGGAAGATCTTTCTCTCTCTCTCACCGTCTAACTCTGCCTGTAAAAAAAAAGGAAGTTACCACTTACCATGATGGCACTGAGCCATTAAAATGTATGTCAACAATAACAGAGCAGCAATTTTTAGGAAGCAAGAACTGGGGACTTCAGAAAAGTTTGTGGAAAATTGAATTTCTTTTGACAGGCAGAGTTAGACAGTGAGAGAGAGACAGAGAGAAAGGTCTTCATTCCATTGGTTCACCCCCCAAATGGCCACTATGACCAGTGCGCTGGGCCAGTCCAAAGCCAGGAGCCACATGCTTCCTCCTGATCTCCCATGCAGGTGCAGGGCCCAAGCACTTGGGCCGTCCTCCACTACACTCCCTGGCCACAGCAGAGAGCTGGACTGGAAGAGGGGCAACTGGGACAGAATCCGGCACCCCAACTGGGACTAGAACTGGGGATGCCGGCGCCACAGGTGGAGGATTAGCCTAGTGAGCTGCAGCGCCGGCTGGTAAGTGGTAACTTCTAACATCATAAGTTGCAGTTTTGTTTCTTGTATAATTTTACAACTGGATTTTACCTCATCAAAATTAAAATTAGAACCTCAGCTTTCCTGTATCTAGTTTGTATGTTTGCTTTCAGTTTAACTTTTTAAATTTTAACAGTGCTGAATCTCTTTGTACAATGGTGTTTCATACATAATGATGAGATATGATTTTCAGCTAATCTGAAAAATTGTTTTAATAGTTTAATCAAGCTCTTTAATATTTGATGATATAACCAATTTTTATTTGTAGTTTTATAACATTATTTATTACTGTTGCATCATCTACATTTAAATGT